GTAGAATTTGTGGTCTTTTCTTAGTCACCTGAGGGGTAACACTCTTTTCGCTCAGTGAAATTTTCATTCGTTTTTTCTTCTGCTCCGATATATTCTCCTTACAGTTTTTGTAATTTTCTCCGCGTGTAGCAGGAAATGGAGGCCCAGAGTCATGCCCGTCATTCATCTACGGCTGTCCATGGCTGGGGCCATGCATCTGTAAGATAGATTTGACGACGTGTTTTTCCATGGAACATTTGTGCAGCATGCTTACCGATGCGATCTTTGTTTGTGCCTCGTGCGCTCTGCTCTCCATCAGGAGGAGCCATTCGACTGAATGAGTGGGAATGGGGTGCGGGTGCAGCGGTGGTGGGGCGGCAGAAACAGCAAAGCGTCGATGACAACAGAAACAGCAGGAGCAGCAACAGCAACAATAAAAGCAGCAACATGGCCATTTCACTCCGCCTCTCTTGCTCTCCTTCTTTTTCTTTTTCTGTCCATCTCGCTTCCTCTGCTCTGTGGCAAATGCTTGGAAAATGTGCACAATTTTCACATCCGGTGTCACATTCGATTCAATTGAGATTTACCTGAACGTGACTAAAATACGCAAATTAAAAACGCTCCAACGTTCCTCTCAATCCTCTATCCTGTGTGTGTGTGTGGAGTGCTCTATCTAGGTGTGTGTGTGTGCGTGTATCCTGTGTGTATGTGTGTGCTCTGTATCTATGAGTGTGTTCATTCTCCCGTTACCATGTTAACAACATTTACAGAGCTCAGGTCGAGATTTTTTGTTGCCTGGTTCCCCCCTTTCCTCTTTTCTTTTTTTTTTGGGGGGAAATCTTGTTTTGGGTTAGTTTTTTTTTATGGGTCGGGTCGTCTGACTAGGGTGCTTATCATTGGAATAAATTGCCGCTAGATGAAGCATATGATGGGATAATGCTTATACGATTACCCAATGAATTAATCAATTTCAAGCTTATATTCCATTTCCAATTGGATTTCCGCTGTTTATTTGCTTTGATTCTGCACACATCCCGCAGGAGGATATTCACTCGCTTAGTTGTTTTATTTATCCCTCATTTATCGTACTCCATTTAACCGAAACGAAACGAAGCTCTGGGCGGCAACTTAATTAAATAACTAATTGAAATTTTTGCGCATAAAATGCAATTAACTATCGCTAACAATTCGCAATGATTGGCTGTGCCCTGCCCCCTGCCCCTGCCTGCCCCGCAAAATCTAACCAACTACTAAAATAATGCAAATTATTTGCACAATTTCGAACAAGGCTCAATGAACCGTTATATGCTGTGCTGCTGCTGCTGCTGCGGCTCTGGTGGTGGGATGCGAAAAGTCAACGCCAAGGGGCGCCATAAATCGATTAATGCCAAAGTGTTATGTAAATAAAATGACCAAATAGATACAGTACTCTCTCTCTACGCTGTACAATGTGAACCCCCTGACCTCGCTCTCTCTCTCTCACTGTTATTTAACCATATTTGTGGCAACATTAAAGCCGAAATTTAAACTGCATTTGGTTGGGATTTTGAATTTTATGGATTGTGTTTGAGTTCTGGGTTGAAAGATCACGCCTGACTGACCTTTGTTTGGAAATCGTTTGGGGGAATTAGCGACGCGTCGTCGGTTCAGCAATTGCATTCATATCAAAATCACTTTTATTTTTCGGTGCAAATTAACGTTGAATGTTATTTCGGCTGTTAAATTGCGGTTTGAGCCCTGATCTTAAATGGCGCCAACTTCAAAGTGACAATAATTTGACCATTAAGCCAATGGACATGAAGTCCAGTCCAGTTCAGCCAGCCAGCCAGTCAGCATCTTGGCTGGGATCTGGTCTGCTCATTAAATTCGCTTGTCATTTAATTGTTCTCCTCGATGGCTTCACGATGGCCACGCATCAGCGGGACAAAAACATGGCCCGCTCTTTGCTTAATTCTTTTTTGGTGCATTGCCAATTGTCATAATGGCCGAGACGGCGCTGGTCTGGCCATGCTGGCAATTATGAGTTAAGAGGAATCACTCTGCCAGACCAGACCAGACCAAGGCCCATTAAAAAAAAGTGGAGACGCGCACACAAAGTTTGTGCTTCACTTCGGGATGTAGATGGAAATGGAGATGGGATGGATATGAGGACAGGACTGGGCACAGGACTGGGGGGCCCATAAAATTAGTCGTGGCCAGAAAAGTGCATTTGCTTGTGGCCAAAAGTGGCGGATGGAGCAGGAGAGGAGGGGGAAGGGAAGCCAGAAGGAAACCACAGACATTGCTGCACATCGTCCACATCTCGTAAACGTTCAAATGGAATGGAATGGACAATTTAAATGCAGCATTGGGCTATTGACACGCCCACTCAATGGGCTGCCAACGGAGTCTCTCCCTCTCTCTCTTCGAACGAGGACGAAGAGGAATGAGTCGAGGACTGTGCGTGATTTGAAATGGTTTTTAAGAGCAGCTCTTAAATGGCTTCACCAGTGGGAGATATATGTGCTAAATGATGACGGTCATATGTCAAGCAGTTAACTGGATGGCAAAGTGAATAACTAAGGCAGGAAGAGAGAAGCGAGACCCGCTAAAGAGAGGAAACTACTCATAAAGAAAAGGAATGCAGTAGAGCGTGGAAATGGGAAAGGAATTGTGGTGACCTGAGAGGGGAATCTTGCCAGAATATATCCAAATTGTATCCCACATTTCATTCCACCTTTCCAAGGGCTGGCGACATCTGACATCCGCCGTCACATGCAACTTTTGCAATCTGTCAACATCTAAACCAAAAACTTCAATCAACTCGTCCGACAAGTTAATTGAATTTTACCCCCGAAACCGAAACGAAACGCTAAAACTTTACTGCAGCAGGTTCTCGGAACCGCACTTTGCGCACCACACACACACATGCAATTTACATGTACACTTTATTTTAAATTTGAATTTGAATTTATTTCAAGTGTTGGGTTGATTTTCGAAAAATGTCTCCCCTAAACACACAGCAGACACTGAACACTGCACACTGCACACTCAGCCGAGCTAACCGATTGGCTGACTTGAATATTTTGCATAACCCAAAAGCAGGTCCAATATTTTGCATATTGGTCGAAGGCCACAAAACTTTGTGACTTTTTGCTGCCACAGAGATAGAGAATGAGATGGAGATGGAGCTAGAGGAGGAGACATACAAGTGACACTTTTTGGACAGTTTTGCATGGTGCTGCATATGAATAAAGTCAAATGGGGAGTGGTAGAGGGTGTGTGTGAGGCTTGGACGTGTCATGAATTCATTTTGCATACATTTTGAATCAGAGATCAAATTTGCAGTGTGGCATCCATTGGCTCCTACGGCTGCTTTGCTTGTTTGTCTGGCTGGAAAATCAGAAAATCATATTTCAATTATTGTTGGGAAAACAGCAACCGTACACCCGTAATAAACGAAATGATTATGGGGCCACACATTGCAATGGGACGACTGAGACCCTCTGTATATCTGTTTCTGACCCGAAAATTTGTTGGGGTAAAAACTACAAATTTGTGCAGGCCAAACGGCAGTAAACAATTTGCAATTGAATCGTATGCCAAATGGATTGGCTGCACATATCAGTGAGAGAGAGAGAGTGCTTCATCTGTGCTGTTGCCACCTATCAATATCACATTTCCAATCTATTAACGAACGAACCGACTGTCAGTCAATGGCAAACAGACATGGGCAAAAAACATCACAGAGAGAGAGTCTGAGCTTGATTAAAAAATGCAGTCCATGGTGGTGTACTCCTACCACTTGCCATATATATCGCAGATATTCCAACTCCAATATCGTGAATATAACGTGTGAAAAAGTTGTTTGTAAAGGTGCCGCCACCTACCTACCGCCACCTACCTACCGCCCACCGACTGCCGCCCATCGCCTGTCACGGGTTAATTTCGCATGCAAATAATGTCACGTGTTGTGTCACGTTGTGTCGCCGTTGCCGTTGAATGAACTTGATTAAAATTCAATGCGACGTTAATTAAATTCAACCCAATGCAATTTACATTCGGTTCTTTTTATGCTCTCCCTCCCTTTGGTTTGCGGTTTCTCTTTTTAAAGCCCTTATGCAGGATTGCGCTGCCATAAAGCCGTAAAGTGTTCTACTTCCGCATCCGGTTGCTTGTCAATATTATTGGGCATACATCCTCTCAAAACTTTCCTTCCAAGTGGAGCAGGAGCAGGCAGGAAATGACGACCTACTTAAAGTTGCAGCAGAGCAAGACAAAAGTTGTGGAGTGGATAAACAAAAAGCAATGCAATTTCTGGGCCATTAAAGTGCCCGAAGTTTGGACTTTAAGTCAGTTTCAGTGGCTGCTGCTACTGCCTCTCACCTTTAGCTGGGTTGCACGTGGCGTATGAGCCATCGGCACATAAATTACCCGCATAAACATTGTAAGGACTCCCGACTTGGAGCCGGAATTCCGGTGCATTGTGTGGCTTCATCGTAGTCGTCGCCGCTGCCGCCGCCACGTCTAGACAAAGCAATCATAAATAATTTCTGCATAAAGACGTCATAATTTGCCTCAACTCTTTTCCAACTCCCCCATTGTACGCCAATCCGCTCTCCTCCGCTCTCCTCCTCTGATTTGACCTTTGACTGTGCGTGCTACCCTCTTAGACAGACATTTGTGCTGTCCAAATATTTTGTTATTAAATGAAATTGCAATGTTTGCTGCTGACCAATTTGGCCACCACTTTTGCTGATGCTGGAGGTGGTGGTGGTGGTGGCTGCTCATTATGATTGCAGCGCAGAAAAATGTTTGCCAGGGCAACCAATCCCCTGCTGTCCGTCCGTCCGGCCCATGCCCGTTCTGTTCTCTGGTTCTATCCCCAACCGGATCCTGCTGCTTGTCTGGGAATTTCATTTCAGGGCTTGGTCAGTGTACGACTAAGGTTTCCGTGTCCGTGTTGGGGAGCGAAGCATTTCACTTTTGCGTTTTGTTAAACGTTTTTATGAATTGTTTGCTGCTCCTGCCCTCTGACTATTGTTGCTGCTGCTGCTGCAGCTCCTCCTGCTGCTGCTATTGTTATGATGCGGTTTTGGGGCAGCAACTAGCTGTGGGGCAAGCGAAGCCCCAGAAGAGGGACTGAAAGCGCTGTAGTGCGTAGCTGGTTGGATGTACACTAACATCTGCAGAGGTTCGCTTCACTGAGAGATGAAAGACGGTTACAGCAGCTAAGCAACTCAAAGATCAGCGAAAACAAAGCGCCTTCTTCTGCGTCTTCCCATTCCAAAGGAAGTTTCTAAAGCTTCCTTCAAAGGGTATCCAAACATCTGCTTACTTTGCAAACACCTGCCCCTGCTTTTTCCTTGTTATCCTGGCCAGGCCTTGGGGGACTCTGCTGGGTACCATGTTTGTTTTTCAGCTGGACAACAGAGCCATTTAATGAAATTTTAAACATTTTTGTGTTCTAATAATGAAATACTTATGGTTGGTTCCTGTGGCCACGGACATGGGACTCGACTCGACTCCACTCCACTCCACGGTTCCCCTTCACTCTCTAGGGCTACCTGCCAGGACTTTAAGTTATTGGTTGTGAGAAGATGCTGCGAAAAACTTTTTCACTGCATTCGATGCAAGTGAGAAAATGGCAGGTGGTGGCGGAACCGCTGAGGGATGGGATAACAACTCGAGTGAACTGAGAGAACTCGTTAAAAGTTACACTCAAGAACGCCTCTGTCTCACCTGCCACCACCGTCTCTCTAGCCCCTTTCCCTGCCATCTCAATTGAAAGTGTTTTGGTGGAAAGTTTGCCATAAATAATGCGCTGCTCAATATTAACAAGTCGAGACGTAAATGTCGACGGCGACTAAAAAGTTTAGCGCACTTCAATAAACAAAGTGCCAGAAGCAGAAGCAGGAGCTGGAGCTTGGCTCCCCTCTAGCCAACCCCTTCCCTACCTCTCAGACAGTTCTTTCGCTGTTATTTCCAAGTTGTCAACTGTTTATTGATGTTGGCTTTTTAGCCGCCTGCCGCCTGCGACATGAATAATCAAAGTAGAAAAGCCAGAAATAAAACGCATTTACTACGGGCAAATGGTAAATGGAAAATGGCAAAATAATTTCCACACTAAAAGCCTCTTCCACTTGTTGTTGTTCCTCCTTGGGTGCTTGTTCTTTTTGTGGCTGCCATCGCCTCCCCCGTGGCGCTCACTCCTTTTTTTGGGATCTGGCGACGCCCCCATGCGATTGTCGCCCGCGGGCATTCGTCTTTCATATCCGGCCTCCCACAGCTTCCGCTGCTGTTTGCCAGCGCCCCAAAAGGGAAATTGATTTTGGCCATGCCTTTTGGTGGGAGGGGTGGGCGGTTTGGGCGTGTGTAAGTTGTAAGGGCTGAATGGAGAGCACTCCATTCGAAATGTTAATTAAGTGTCTAGTTTAAAAGCCAAGCCAAAGTCAGCCATGAAATATTAAGCGGCTGCTGTGCCGACTTGTGGCCGGGGCTCATCAAAAATTTCTTAGCTCAAGGACAGGCCCGGGCTGAGGCTCAGGCTCAGGCCCAGGCCCAGGCCCAGTAACCTGAATAGAGGCTGCTCTGACATATGTGAGCGCGAAGGCAGTTAATTAACTGGTGAGCTAACTAGGCAAACACACACACACTCCCCATCCCCATGCTTCCGCCTTGATGATAACGCTGGAAAAATGTGACTTAATGAAGTGCGAAATATGAGAAGATTTCTATGGGGTGATGAGGCAGCATCTACCATATCTGATGGCTGCTTGGATTCTGTGTGTGGTGTGTGTGTGTCTGTGTGTGGTCTGTTTGCATGTCTGTGTGTTGACATAATATCCTAATGTCATATATCGCTGGGTCTTATATTCTGTGGCCGCTTTAAAGCTCTTTAAAGGCTTTAAGTAACAAGTTGTGGCTGCTGTTGGATTTTGATTAAGTTGGGAAATGATACACAGTAGGGGCAGGGAAGGGATCCTCTTTTAATGCACTTTGTATTTATTTAGGCATGGATCTACAATATTCCTTAAAATTATAAAGGAACATTTCGGAACCAGTTCCAGGGTATCCCTGCAGATGAGTTTCATCTTCCCCGCACTTCTTATTTTCAGTTGTCATGTTTCCGTTATTGTTGTTACTGTTTTTCCTTGCTTCTGCTGCTGCTGCTGCTGCTCCTCCTCCTCCACTTGCCCCAAATCGAAGCTATAAAAGTAATTAAGATAACGACTTTTGTGCTGTTCACATTTTTGGGGTCTCCCGCACTCTCTCTATCTCTATCTCTCTCCCGTATACCCTCCCGATGGATGATATGTATCGTGTATTTGCTTTATAGCCAGAGTTTTACAATATTTCCTTTTTGGCTCGATGCCCTCGAAGCTTCTCCTCACACCACACCGCTCCCCCTCCCGCCCTTCTGCCGGCTTCCTGTTGTTTGTGCAATTTTCTTGAAATTTCATTTCTTAACTTTTGCCGCCGGCTTTTGAGACTGTAAATCATGTGAGCAGCCCTGTGGGGCGGTGGTGGCTGTGGGGGAGGACTAAGAGTCAATGCCATGTGTTATTGTTGCCACAAAATGGGGCATGAGAGGAGATGGGGCCATAGACTGTTGCTTGCCACTGTTGCCTTTTGCGCTTTGCCAGCTGGATGTTGCTTTTCCTTTTCTTCTAATTGTTTGCTTGGCCACAGGGGACACACAGAGCAAGAGAGGTAGAAAGAGAGAGAGAAGGAGAACATATCGATTAATTAACAAAATTAAAAGATAAAAGTTTAGAGAGAGAGAAGGAGGAGATACAAAGACACACATCATCCATATGTACCATGTACAGATGTGTCTGCAACGACCAGATGGAGTTTTTGATTTATTTTATTTTGCCTTTCAGCATGAAACAGAAAGCGGATGATTATAGCGATAGGGGATGCAAACCATAAGAGGGATCTGATCATTATAATTACTCGGAATATATTTGGAATTTTAATGAGTGATTTATGAGTAATTCCGTTCAGTGTGTCTGATACTTTAAATCCGATTTCCAGCCGCACTTTAAATGCCATTCTTTAGCCCCACATCACTGGGTGCATTGACTGCGTTTAATATGCACTTCGCCAAATGCCAAGTGTTTTTCTGTTTTTATATAGAATTGTGGGTGTGGCACAAGGGAGACCCGACCCTCCTTCTGCACCAAACCCCCCGCCCGGACCCAGAGGCGGCTAAACAATCGAGTGCACTTTGCGCTGCTTGTTGCATACTTTCAGGCGCTGCTGTTGTCGACGGCTCACGTAGCTTATCCAAAGGGATAAGTCAGTCAGTTGGTCGTCGGTGGGGTGCACTGATCGGGGAGGGGAGGTGCGTGCCACTGCTGACACAATTTTGCCTCCTTCGCTCTGTCTTACATCATACTTGGGGTCACGGCTCGTTGGACACTCGAGTGGCACATCATTTCCGCTGGGCTGCCGCTGCCCCAAGCTTGTGGCGAAGCATTGCTGGATTTTTCTCAGTCTGTGTCTTCCTTCGCCTTGTCCTGATTGCATTACTGGAGTCGGCTCGAAGTTCGAAGCTGTCGCTGATTGAATTTTGTAGCCAGCCATCGTCATCTCCTTCGGCATCCTCATCCTCAGTCAGGGCTTGCTGTGGATCAGCTTTAAGCGCATTAAAAGGCCAGCCAGTGCAGCAGCAGGAGCATCCTGGGTTCAGCATCCTGGCATCGGCATCAGAGGCCATCGGAGAATGTCGAATGTGAAATGCGTGCTAATTAAAAGGCAAAACATTTATGCAATGCCAGACAAGGCACACAAAAGCCACGTCGGGCGCCATGGCAACACATTCACCCCTGCAGCTCCTCCCAGTTTTACTCTTTTGCTGATTTTCCTGCTACCACTCCGGCACTCCACCACTGCTGGCAAATAAATCCCATATAAACAGGAGATAATCCAGCCAACATCATTGCAAATGCCATTCATCGCTGGGGTTCCTGCTGTTCCTGTTGTTCCTCCCACTACCACTACCCCTCCAGATTCTGTTACATATCCTGCTGCTGCTGCTCCTGGTCCATCTCCTGCTCCTTTGGCAATGCGCTGCAGCTACAAGTGAATGAATGCCTGAATCTGTGCTGGTCTCTGCTGAATGATTGCCCATTCACGGATGCACTCGTCGGGATTTATTGATTTTCCCAGGGCAGGGCACAGCACATTGAGAATGGAGATGGGTGGAGCTTGAAATAGAAATAACTGTTTTTGTAATTAGCAGAATTGGTAGCCGGTTAAGTGAGGAAAGGTGCAGCAAATGAAGAGAAAGATATGCATAATCGAATCCTTGATGTACCAAAAATCAGCATTTATTCTCCTTCTTTTTCGACTTGGATGTGATTTTTCTATATTTTTCGAGTACCATCTAATTGCATTAAATTTGATTTCCATTTAATTTAATGTGCATCTCAGTCCTTGTTTGCGTTCACCCCCAATGCATTGGGAGGGAAGTTTCTGTATCAAATTATGGCAACATTTGCGTAATAATTAGTGAGGAATAGACAAATGAAAATGAAATTTCCAGGACGACACTGGGATGGCTGTCAGCGTTGAAAAGCTAAACAAACTGGTGCACAAATTGTGCAAACAGTTCAAGTGAAAGGCCTGGGGGCAAAAGTGAAATGCGAATATGAAAAAACTTAGCATACATTGCAGATGAAAGCACTTCATTAGCGAGAATCCTGAATGTTTATTTTCACATATGCATGGACCAACATACGAAGAGAGACAGAGAGAGTGAGAGGATGCGGAGGCTCAACTCCCCTTTTGAATTTCATTATGGCCAACGCTGAAGAGCCAAAGGAGGCAGTCGGACTTTTGGCTGGTGTCCAGCGTCTGGGATGAAGATTTCAGCATCCAGTGCTACACATTCTACTTGTGATTGATATGTTTGTACCCGTCGAAACCTATGAGCCATACTCCTGAATCTTCCTGAGATCTAATCTAAAGAGAGTTTCAATGATTGAACAGGGGATTGCCCCGATTGTATAATTTACCCACAAAACAAATAGTTAGGAGATGAGTACCATAAATGTAGGATATTTACACTGAACCCATTTCATTTTGCGGTCAAAATTACTTGTATTGACAGGCAATTAAGGATTGGGTGATTCGGATTTAAATGGAAACCAAAATCGAATATCGACAGCAACCAAATAAATGAATAAATAAGCAAACTAAAGGGCAACCTCATGCTGATTTATATATTTTGCACTTTATTTATTGTCATAATTATTGAATTTGCCATTGCCATTCCCATTTCCATTTCCATTCCATTCTCAATTATTGTATTCATTAATGATGTAATGTAACTTTATTAATGCTGTCAGCGTTTCCATTTATTTATAATTTGTTTGCCAATGTTTTTTCGAGCCTCGTTATGGTTAATGGCCTTTTGTTTTACCGCCTCTGGTGTCGCTCTCTCTGTCCGTCGCCTGTCATGGCGAATATTTGTAGTTTATCTTCTACATACATATATATTTATTGTATATTTTTATTCACTTGGCTGCCAATTGTTGGCCTGCGTAAATTATTGCGCTTACTTTGTATGGGAAAATAATGCCAAATATCAATCATTGGCCATAACACATTTTTGTTTCCAAGCTATGAAACGTGAAACAATCAACAGACTATAGATAATATTCAAAAATTCTCTAGCGATTTGTATTAAATTTTAATCTCTATTCTTCTCATTTAAGGTTCTTCGCACTTTGCAATTCATAATTAATATTACTTCGGCCTGCATGAAGATCTCGCCCGCAGTCCCCCAGTTGATGTATTTTAGAAAATAAGAGAAAACTGTAATTAGCTTATAATTAAATAAAACGAGAAGGAACGTGTGAGTCGTTTCTGGGGACACGACTCTACTTATACCCGTACTCAGTCAGTATATACAGCTTATGATTTTTTAGAATTTTAGAAAAAAAAAAAATTTTACATTTTAAATTTTTTTGCTACATCTGCTATCTACATCTACATATAAAATGTCTATTCTACATCTAACATGTAGATTGTACATGTTCCATTCATATTCTACATCTCCTCCGCTAGGGCTTGCTCGCGCACTGAACGCGGCAGAGTGTGCGAGCGAGAAGGAAAATGAGTTGCGTTGTCGTGGGCGGGAGGGGGAGGGGAAGCAACTGAAAATTAATTTCTTCATTCTGGCTATAATTATGATCCGATCTGATTCAGATTCGGCAGTCTGGTAGATATGGTCATTCTCTACGATACTGTTAGTTTTAGTTTTATCGTATCTTTAAAAATGTGCCTGCCACAGATGTTCGTCCTTTGTTGGGGCGGAAGGGGGCGGGGCGAAATTTTGAAATACACTTGTAGCAGTGTGATATCACATGAGTCTGGAAACCAAATTTGGTTGCCCTAGCTCTTATAGTCTCTGAGATCTGAGCGCTCATCGAGACAGACAGACAGACAGACAGACATAGCTTTATCGACTCGGCTATTGATGCTGATCAAGAATATATATACTTTATGGGGTCGGAAACGTTTCCTTCTCTGCGTTACACACATCCACTTTTACCACAAATCTAATATACCCCTTAACTCATTTTTGAGTACGGGTATAACAACCAAACAAAACTGACGTCCCCTTTTTATTGTTGCACAGTGGCGCCCCATACAGATCACCGGTGATTTCATGAACTAAAACAGCGTAGTTCGAGAAATGACCGCTCATTGTAGGGGCGCCAAAGTTGTAGTTTTTGTTTTGCACTGTGGCGCCGCTGCGATCACCAGCCATTACTGGAACTAAATTACATTAGTTCGAGAAATGACCGCTCATTGAAGAGGCGCCACAGTTGTAGTTTTTGTTTTGCACTGTGGCGCCCCTGCGATCACCGGCCATTACTAGAACTAAATCACATTAGTTCGAGAAATGACCGCTTATTTAAGAGGCGCTACAGTTGTTGTTTTTTTTTTGAGCAGTGGCGCCTCTACTGATCACCGTCAATTTCTTGAACTAAAGTAGCGTAGTTCGAGAATTTACCGCTCAATGTGGAAGCGCCACAATTGTAGTTTTTTTTTGCACAGTCGCGCCTTTGCGATCACCGGTCACTAATGGAACTAAATTAGCGTAGTTCGAGACTTTACCGCTCAATTGTGGAGCGTCACAGTTGTAGGTGTTTTTTGCGCAGTGGCGCCCCTGCGATCACAGGCTACTGATAAAACTAAATTAGAGTAGTTCGAGATCTTACCGCTCCATTTGGGGGTGCCACATTGCTGAATGTTATTTTCAAACCGATTTTTAATTAACTCGCTTTAACTCCGATATTTCTCATCCGATCCGACACGTGATATGTGTTCTCGTAATTGGAAGATATCCCCGACTGTTTCGCCCAGATTGACATCAAGGACAACAAGGATATTGCCTTTTTAACGGGTTTTTGTAATCATTTTATACTTTAATCGCTATAATTCTGTCATTTATCGTCCAATTTGTGCTTGTTACACCAAGCATACTAAGGACTATTGCCTGTGTAATCGATATAACTCCGCCCTCTCTAGCCATGCCTTTCTGTAATAGGGGAAACATTGGAGCATTGTATCCGCTGACTGTTGATGCCGATCGACAGTCTGGATCCTCACGAACCTGGGAATGTAGGTCCTTTGCCAATCTGAGCTCGTTTGGCGGAGACACCAAAGCCATACAACCTCCACAAATCGTTCACAAGTCTTTGAGGATGTGTCGTCCTGAACCCCCCTTGTAACCACTAAAACGTTTGACGTTGCTGCTAATTATTTATGCCACCGAAATGTTGCCGGCAACATGTTGCCAAGCGCATTGCGTCGAGAGCTCCACGAGCCGCACTTGAAAAATAATGAGAGCCACTCGAATCGCTAATCACATGTAAGTGAAGTGTTCCCTGGCCAACCCTCCGCCAGGATTCATCTCACTCAAGCGGTGGGAGGGGGAGTGGTAGGAGGGTGGGGTAACCGGAAATCGTGTGGATTGCTGGGGCGTGGACACACATTGAAATCTCTCGAGGGTTGCATTTGCAGGATTGCATTGTTCGATTTTTATTTACGTATAATTTACTTTCACAATAGAAAACTTATCAATACGAATAGAAATATTTCAGTTAATTGGTAAATGGTGGACCCTTCCTTAATGTACAACTAAAACCTGGGATTCAGATTCCGATCCATAAACTATATCACAAAGCCTCTTCTTAGTGGACTAATACGCATAGAAAAAACAATTCCTACATAATATTTCTTTCACCTATCGTTCCCTTTGCAGTTCGATATTAATAACCCCCCTTAAATTACCTAATTTTCACCCTCTTATTCTATATTTCGATGCTCTTGGCCTGCAGACTCTTGAGTATTCCAAGGAGCTGGAGAGACTCCAGGGGCTCGAAGTCATCCGCATAGCGCACCGCCGACGACTTGACCACATGTCGCTCCCTTGGCATGTCCAGTGTGAGGGGAAGCTGCTCGGCCATCACCGAGTGGTGGGTGATCAATGCCTTGAGAGTGCTGAACTGTTTCTTGGCCCCCTTCAGGCGGTACATCTGGGTACGGGTGGACTGCACCGGGTACGTCTTTACCTTCCGTTCGAGGCGCAGACAGAGCTCGAAGTGGCGGGGCGTGCTGCGGCGGAGCAGGAAGCTGCCCGGAGTCGACTGCTGCAGATGCTCGTGGGCGGCCTTCGCACTGATGCGGGGCTGGTACCAGGCGCAGGCCAACAGTTCCGGCTCCTCATCATCATCGTCGTCCTCGGTGCTGTTGGCGCTGTTGTAGCGGGGCAGGGATGTCCGCTTCTTGGGCGAGCTGCGACGCTGTTTGTTGCTCGATGTGTTCTCCGCCAGCAACTGGCAGCAGTCGGAGATTCCGGCATCGGAGTCATCCTCTTCCTTGTTGGAGTCGCTTGGCTGACTGCTCTGCCAGCAGTTGAGCGACAGCAGCGACTTCTGGGGCGAGCGCTTGGGCGTGTCCGCATGGCTACTGCTGGAAATGGAGCTGGTGTTGGAGTTGGAGCTGCAGCTGCAATCGGCATCCCTTTCCTCATCCTCTTCCTCCACGTCGGCCTGGTACGAGGAGTCGAGAAGGTCCTGCTGCAGAGAGAAAATGAAGAAGCCATCTGGTTAGTCTTCCATTGTAAATGAAACTTTCTTCGGGGGTCTACTAACCTCATCATAATCACTGGTTGGCTCCTCATTCAGCGCCCGCTCCTTGTGCGAGGGTTGGGCAAACAGTTTGCGGTGCAGAAAGTTCTTCATGCTGTCGTAGACCTTGTGGGTGCGACTCTGGCTGGGCTCCTCGGCTGCCGCTGCCACTGCCTCTGCCGCTGACCTTGGGAACTGCAGTTTGTTGCTCCATTGTTGGCACTTCTCGAAGGAGGAGTCATTGTACTGCCCGTAGATGTCCGAATAGGCCGGACACTTGATGGCATTGCGTAGCTGTCGGAACGAGAACAAACAAGGTGAAATTGTTGGTTAGTTTCTTGTCGAGAGAATTTGTAACAAATGTCATATAAATCTTGTACCCCCGAATAGAAGCGAACCGAACCGAACCCCAGCCCTATGCTCACATTTTTTTCCGTCGAAGAGTGCTCTTATGCAACGAGGAGAACCATTCAGATAACACACCATTATCCCTGTTTTTGTTTCACAGTCTCCCCAGTCTCCTCTCCTCTCCGAGTGCTCTTTGTTGTGCTCTTGCCATTGTCATACTTCGTACCAATCCCATTCCCATTCCCATTCCAATTCTCAGAGCCCTTTCCCTTTCTCAAATCCCTCTCGACTATCGCCCCGACTCGACTCTCATCCGACTCCTGCTAATGCTTTTGGGTCAGTGCCTCCTGCTGATGTGATACTCACTCGTATCCTTGTAATGCGCTTGCTCTACTTGTTCATTGTTGTATAATTTGCCAGCCTGTTGTTTTCACTTCTCGTATTTGCTTTTCATTTCGCCCATAAAATATTCATAAGGCAGGCAGGCAGGCAGGCAGGCAGGCACATGAGTACCACAGTAGTAGGGGTTCCAGGGGCTCGAAGGGATCCTAGTTAGCTTTTCTTCACTGTCACATGAAAATATTTGAATAATGCTCGCTTTTGACTTTAAAATTGTAGCAGTTCCATTGCTGCTGCTGCTCCTTCTGGTAAGGGTTTTCCTTCCACTGATCTTTAATAACTTTTGCCGCTTCTAGAACTTAGCGATGTCCAGAGAAGTTTACATGTATGTGGATATGTCGGGTAAACCATGGGAATTCGAGTTCAGGGGCATCTACAACAACACCTTGCGGAGACGTGTAACACAAGTTGTCTATAATGGTCTCTGGACGGATCCCATGTTGAGAGGCAGGGATCTGGATGCTGCCTCTTGCTCAAGTCCTTTGAATCAACTCATCTCTCTGGCTGCTGCTACTGCTGCTGCATCCTTTGTTATAGTCTAGTGGGAGAGGGAGATCGCCGCTAGCACACCCCTTTTTGACACGAATCGAAATCCTTAAATCCATTGCGTGTGCGACACTTCAGCACGCACGCACACACACACACACACAAACACACGCATGCAACACTCCAATAAATGGCAAAATAATGAGCATTCAATTGAATGGCAGTCCGGGACAATGGCATGGCTCCCAGGTAGCAGCTCTTCTCTATACGTGGGATAATGAAATTGGATTCAATGGATAAAGAGTAAGGGGAGTGGCTCTTCTCTCTCATAATTCAACACATTCAATAAATTCCAAATGCAAAGCCAAAACAAAGGAAGTGCAGACGCAGAACTTCCGTTGCACCAACAATTGATTTGCATTTCCAAATGAAAACCTTGTTTATACTCGTATGTGAACGGACATACGCGACGTAAATTGTTTCTACATCTTGTCCAGCGCCCATTAATTCGGAGCCAACGAGCCATGCCCAAAAGAGTTTCTTTGATGTGGCCACGCAGCGCATAAATCTGCTGTAGGATTGACCAACATCAGAACAGAGCAAAGATGGGGGGTAAAAGCGGCGTGAAATGCCTCAAAGTGTACCTTTTATCGGCTTAAATCAAACACACAATGGGGCAACAAGCGTTTAATGGCTACGATTCTTGCCAGCTACATGAGTTTTAATTTATGCAAGGCCCAACCGAACCGAACCGAACCGAACTAAACCCCAAAAAAGGAACAGTAATTTCAGTGATAATAGTAGACCCCAAAAGAAGATTCCAAAATTAAATTAAAAGAATGAAACAGAAAACAGAAAAAGAAAAACTTGAGCCTCTCCATACAGTAGTGACCAAAAGACCAAAAGGTGTTGGCGTTGCCCTCGTTTGATTGTCTGCGTGCGTGCTAATGCAATAATCATAGGGTCTGAGAGGTCTCTGCTCTGCATCAATGTCTGTCCCTCTGTTTGTCTGTCCCTGATCCTGCCCTGCGGAAAGGTAACTCTAATTGATGATGAAGCATAGCCCCGAGAGTCCACTGGCACTCCACTCTGTTCGGGGCTTCTATCTATCGTATCTCTTTGTTTGGCCTGCGAGGTGTTAGCATATTTTCGTAATCAAAATGTGTTACAATAAAAACTTGAGGAAAACTCAGGTAAGAGAGCGGCTGCTGCTGCTGCTCTGCTGGCAGCCAACGCATCGCAGCACCTTCGACAGCTGACGAACAACAAAAGAAGATGGAGGGGAAACCCTTCGGTCTTTTGGTTGCCCTTTTTCTCAATCCCCCCCCCATTCCATTTTTGGTCTTATAAAAACAGTTGTTAAATTTTCATTTATTGTGCATTTAGAGTGAGTGGAAGCGGGGAGCGGGGATCGGGGATCGGGAGGGTAAAGAAAAATTAGTTGAAGTGGCAGGGCGAGATGAGTTGATGAATTTATTGAAATGTTTCCTTTCCTTGCCTATTCCATCCGAACTCCGAACAGCGCCACTTGTGGTCCCACACAGAGGACTCACGGACATATGCCTGAATTTTCAGCCATGAAAAATCAAGCAGCTGTCGAAGGACCCGACCCACCCTTCCTTGGGCGGCCCAAACCCAACCCACAACCACAACCTGCAGCTTTTCAGTGTTTCTGCCTGGTGGCTATTAAATTGCAACCGCAATAACGCTAACCACTCGCTTATCCTCACAAATTGGGCAATTGCCAAAGCAGCTGTGCTGCCAAAACAAAAACTCCTCCTTCTACTGTTTTACAGAATATTCTCCCTCTGCCTCCTCCTCCACCATTCCACCCTCTGTTCCACTCATGGCAATATCAATGAAATTTTGAAGATTCCTTTAGACATTTTCGAATGGGAATTAGTAATATTTCAGATGGTCGCAAGCATTAGGGAAACATTTTTGAATATTTTGTAGACATTTCGCTTTTAGTTCCAGCTAATTTGACAGTTTAATGCCACACGAACGAGCTGAGCAGAGTAGCGTTCAAAGTGATCCCCAGCCCCAGCACACACACACGTGTCGTGTCTGTTCGGGGGCTTTCAAAATGTCAGAGATACATGGACTCGCGAGTAGTTTATGACATTTTTTAAAGCATGTCTTTCCCTTGCTACACACATCACTCGCCCCCCTTCCTCCTCCTAGAAAAAACACATCTACTTTTCAGTGAAATATCCAAAAAGTTTTTGTTAAACGAGTTCGTTTTTTTGGGGGATCTCGTCAAATGATTTTCCAACTAATTTAGTTTTATATGCAGGAACAATGTTTATGGTTTTGTTTCTTGTGTTTGATATTTTTTTTATAGCAATTAGCTTTGCCTTTTGCTGGAAAATCCTTTGTTTAGACACATGTGGCGTGTGGCATTGGCTTTTTTTTATGGCGTTCCGTGTTGCTGCACCGCTGAGGCTTTTCTGTGGCATTTTTATAGGTGTAAAAAATTGGGTCATATAAAAAATTATTGAAATGTGAAACGAATTGAGTTGTTTCTTTTTGTTCCTCTGGCTGTATATGTATGCATATTTTGTGCGTGTGTTTTTATGTGAGTTTAAAAAACCATTTTGATGAGTTTATTAAATGCAAATTAAAAAATTGTTGAAATTTTAATTGTATTTTATGGGGCGCAGGTCGTTTTCTTTGTATTTTTTTTGGTATGTGTGTGTGTGGGTAGAGAATTCTCAAGAGACGATACGAGAATGGGGAGTCTTTTGAGGAGGGTCTGCTATGCTATGCAGATGAAGTGGAACAACAGCGGGGCGCGGGCTAGGGATACACTCCATCGTACAAGTGGTGCATGGTGGTGGTCAAGGCAATGAACTTTTCAAATTTATCATTTTGAGGGTTACCGAACAATTTAATTAGAGAGACTCTCTCTCTCTGGCAACTTTTTTGCTGCAACTGTGGAAAAACTACGAGGGCAGGGTACTGGGTATTATGTGCTCTTTGGTCTAGTCACTCAACTTTTGCTGTCTGCTGTCTGTACTCGAGCTCGTAGTAGTTTTAGCATGCAAATAGTTTGCCCGAGAGTCGGTTGAGTCTAGAGTCGTTGCGTCGTCTAATGCACACACAAATCCTTGGTGGGAAGCCATATGAAACTCAAACAGCTCGACGCGGACTCGGACTGCGGAGACACGGACACGGGAGCGGTTACGGTTACTGTTACTGTTACGGGAATGGACAACGTGCTGCTGATAACGATGATGTTGGCCGCCTGGTTTGCTGTCCGGACAGCAGTGTTGTCAGTGTTGGCCAGACGCTAAACCAAACCCAAAACTATTTGTAGCCAGGCCCTACACACGTACATCCATACATACCCGTAGATCCAGAGGGGCATAGAAGGGTTGGATATACTGTTGAAAGCTTTTTTGCATATTTGCATTACATTTTCATGGCGTGGCATGTGGCAAACAAAACGAGGGGCAGCACAGGACAGTGCAGCGGGGGGTATACGGGGCGACATACGAGCACACTGCGAAAATTTATATTGAGTCGAGCGTAAAAATAACAATGCAGACAGATGATGGTCGTCGACGGACGGACGGACGGACGGCAGGCAGACAGACAGTAGACAACGACGGACGGTAGACGGCAGACAGCATGAAAATAAGTGAAATTGTTGTTTACTCAAAACGACGGGGCTAGTCCGGAGTCACACTCAGCTACAGATACAGATCGTCAGATGCAGATACTCTCATACAGCTACAGCTACATTCGTGAGGAGCCAGTGAGCAGTAGTTTGGCAAAATATGGAGCATAAATTACAACAATGCATGCAATGCAATGCAGAGGGGCAATCCGAGTCTTGCCAGTCGCCGGCTATTTAATTATGCTCATCAATTGTGCAGCTTTCTGTTGCAGTTGCAATTGTACCCACCCCCTGCTACTCCATGCCACTAATAAATCTTTTGGTTTAGTCAACGAGGCAGCGGCGTCGTCTGCTGGTTGGAAACTTCAAATTAAATGCACTTAAAAGCATCGCAATTAATTTCTATCCTTAGAAATTCCACTTACCGAGCCGAGCCGAGCTGAGCCCCAAAATCAAAGATTCAGTGTGTGCCTCGTCTTGCCTATCCCCCCCCCCAGATGCCCTCGAAAATACATTTTACATGTGTAGAACACGACCATGGGATATAAACATTAATCATTGGCCTTGAAGGGGGCGACGGAGCGAGAGTTCTTATGGGGAAAGTGCATTAAAATGCCTTAGAATTTAAATGCCTCAGCTCATTGCTGCTAATCGTCGCCAGAAGTTGATTTAATTTTAGCTGCATCTCATCGAGAATTATGAGGCCCATCATGCGCCAGACCAGAGCAGTCCATCCCATCCAAGATCCCCGCAATCCAGTCGGAGCGGCAGGAAGGGCACCACGATAGACAGAGCGCAGAGCAGAAACGGACCAGAAGCCACTTAGGCTGGGCGATGATGGCGTCGGAGCATGGCACCATAAAGTACCCAGAGAGGAAGATGCCTCAAAAACAGATTTATCCAACATCAGATACGCAAATGTGTATGTGTGTGTGTGGCTCCATTGTGAGTCTAGGAGTAGGTTTATGCAGGGGAAAGTACGAGTATCGTGAAACTATAAATCATAACTAGATTCTTCTTATAGAAGATGCTGCTACGCTCAAGCGAAGAACATTCATGGAACTATAACTCAAATGTATGCATAAGAATTCGGTGGAATTTTGATCGTCATAGAGAGAGAGATCATCGCCTTTGCAAATTATGATCTCCCCAACATATCAACTCAATTCCTCTTTATTTTCGCCGCCACAGAGCTCAGTGTATCTTTTGCTTTCTTAATTGTTTTAGATTTTAATCTAGCAATATGGTTGCAGTTCCCTGCCTTTTCCAACCTCCCCCAACTGCACGAACATATGGTCATCACAGCAACGACAGACCGCGTCCAGCTGACATCCCAAGCCCAAGCCAACAGTTGTGTGACAATTTTATTAGTTCTGGTCTTTTGCAGCTTGTCTCGATTCCATTTTGAACGAGTGACCCGCGACAGTCGACGCGATGCGATGCGATGCCTTTTATCTCGTATCGTGAGTCGGCTAATTGAAATCGTTTGTCAGCACAGAGTCGCCCCAACCCCAATCGGACTGTAAACAGACAATTCCCTGGGGCAATAGATTTTGATAACGGATGCGGATTCTCGATTCAGGGGGAGGTGTCGAACGATTTACGCTGCCCGAAAAGAAGTATCTGAGATATGCTCAGAGATCTAAGGAAGCATCTGCGAATGGAATTTCAGACTCTGCATTCGTGCACTTTTGAGTTTGAAGAACTCTTTTGTGCGGTTCAAGTCTTCTAGGTAAATCAACTCCCGTTGCGGCCACACCCGTCAAGCGACAAACGTCAAACGTCGAGAGAGAACAACTTCCTATTTCAAAAGACAATCCTTTAGGGAGCCCAAACACGGCTACACCCACAACAAAAAAAATTGAATAAAAGCAAGGAAAACAAGACAGATTTCCATAGATCAAAACAAAAAGAAAGAATCCGAGTCGAGATAAAGTGGCAGAGCCATAGCTCAATGGTATGGCAACGGTGTGGGATGGCATGGACTGGGCCTTGGCCATGGCTCTGTCCCTGGCACTGGGATGGGTGTCAATTCCCGTGAAAAATGACAGGCGCAGAAGGAACAATGATGGAAAATGCACAGAGTACAGAAGATAAAAGAGGAGGAGTAGCCGGGCAGAAGGCAAAACGCAAACGCAAACTGTCATTCAGTTTGAAATTACAAACTTTTTTCCACAGATTTTGTCGCTCTTTTAAATAAATATTTTGATAAATGGTAAGCCGGATGATGGCTGGGGATGCTGCTGCTGCCGAGCGCATTGTCACTCTACACGAGTATCTGCAGCAGCGCGGGGAAGTCAAAATAGGAGATTAGTAAAGCAAAGTAGCTACCTAAGAAGATTTACCCAGAGATCTGTGGAAAATGAGACACGAGAGAAAGAGAGAGTTGACTTTCTGTATTCAGGTAGCTTCTCAGGTAGTTTGTCTTAATTAAGATATTTGACTAATCTGCTTTTGGGAATCATCAACAGAGCCAGAGCCAGACGTCGCCATTCCACACATGTCGACTTATATATGGCGACGATAAAGCCTAGTTAGCGCTTATCGCTAATCAAATACAAATACTCAAATAGAAATCCATTTAGTCGAATCAATCATTATCTTTATGGGCGAGCAACATATGTTTCCATTTCCATTTCAGTCTGAGTTTCAGTTACCAGTTGCCAGTTTCAGTGCGTTTTCCGTTTGTTTGCTCTACTTATCGCTAGAAATCGCTGCATTTACAATTTGATTTATTTGATTTATTTTTCTGATTTTTGTTTGTTGGCTTAACGCTCGGCTTAGGTCTGCTCTACTGCCCCCCGCCATCAGTCACTGTGTTTGTTTTATATACTTTGATTTGGTTTTTATGCAAATCATATTTATTTGATTCTATGTGATTTAGTGTTCCACTGATTTACGCCGACAGTCGAGTTTATTATGCTTCAGTGTCCGCTCTTTATGCTGTTGTTGTGGGGATCGGATCTCTCGTATCTGTGACACTAAATCATTTTAATTGTTGTCGTTTCGTGTTTTGAATTTCGTTATGCACCCCCCCAGAACCCAACTCCCCCTGCTCTCCGCCGCTCCACAGATGGTCAACATGGAGCGGAGTTTACTGTAGATAGTGCCATGAGTGCGTGGGTTGCCATGGGAGATACTATTGCGTCTCCCATCGTGAATGTGTGGGGGAGTGTGAAATTTGTATAGATTGTTTTAGGGGGGAGGAGTCTGTTTATTGTGTGTGATACTTTATAGACTCTGGCATTTGCTTTGGACTATAGTTGAAAGCTCTCTTGGATAGGCAACTAGTAGGCACCATTTCCAGTACGATTTATGCCTAGGAAGTTATTTACTGAAGGATCGATCGTTAACCTCCTGCCATAAGTAACTGTCCGCTGGTATAACCCTTCATACCCTTTAGTAGTTAATATTCCGCTAAGAAATATATCATAAATCTTACTCTAGTTACTGTCCTGTACCCCTGCTGTTCCACAGACAGACCTAAACTATTCCCCCCACCGTTTGCATATTCTGCGAGACTCACCATCTTGTTCTTATTCTGGGTATCCTTTTTGTTGCGTTTGTTGATATTATCCGTGGCGCCAAAGCGATTGTATTGGAACAGACGACCCATTTTTAGCAGTTTTTTTTGTTTTGTTTCGTTTTTCGTATGTTTACACTTCACTCCACAAACAAATCCAATCCAATGCCCGAGGTCTGCCGCAAGAAGTATGCAAAAGTCGTAATCTTGCTTAACTTATGAGGTTCTTTCTTTCTTTCGAAATGTGTTCAAAAATTTTGCGCGTAATCGAATCAAAGTCGAAGTCAAAGTCCGAAGGGATTGAGGCGAGCGAGTACGAAGTCCGGAGTCCGGGGAGCGATGCGAGCGATCAGTTCGAAGTGCGCAGAGGGAATGAAATGAAAACGCCACCGAATGCATTCGAAAAAGTACAACGGAAAATGAGCACGAGACGAAAGCAAAGAAGAAGCATGGCAGCCAGCAGGCAGCAGGCAGCGCCCATGGGTGAGGGTGAGGGTGAGTGAGTGAAGAGAGAGAGAGAGAGGGCAGCGGCAGAGATACAAAATTTCAGACGACGTCAGCGTCGACGTCAACCGGCGTTGTTCATGCATTTACCGCTAGTTCTATGCCTCTGTGTGGTGGTGTGTGTGTGTGTGTGTGTGTGTGTGTGTGTGTGTGTGTGAAGAAAAACCAACACAGACACACAAAGAGAGACCGACACACAGATACAAACAAACACACAGTCACACAGAGGGAACGAACACTCAAAACAGCAGGCAGGCAGCAGAAGCAAAATAGACGAAGAAAAAACCACTCCAACAAAAAGCGAAATGAGAAAAATTTACTACAACTACACTGAGAGAAAAAAATGGAGGCAAAACAAAAAAATAAAACAAGTGCAAAATGAGAGGAACTTCTGTTTTGGGCATGACAGGCAGGATGGCTGGCGGTGGCAAGGGCAAGGGAAAGGGGCGCTGGGGCGGCGGAAAAGAGTGAATGAAATGCGAGGGCTGTAATACAGCACAGCACAGAGGTTGAGTCGGATGGGCGAGTGACTGACTGCTGACCCAGGGGTAGGTGAGTGTCCTCAACAAGTTGAGTCAAGAGTGGGTGGTTGCAAGGGGTAGGGGCAGGTTACGGGGGGCTGGCTCCTGGACCGCTGGCGAGCGAGTCATTTCATTTTGGACAGCATAAGGAAAAGCGTCCAAGGCAAGTTTTTGACTTTTCATTTCTGTACGAGTATTGAAGGCTCTTTAGCGCTGTGTGGGTGTCCCGCTCTTCGAGTGTGAGTGCTTCACTGTACGAGTGTGCGTGAGTGTTTCCCCCTGTACGAGTGTGTGTGAGTGTGTCATTGATGCACGCTCTACATTCGGCTTCTTCATTTGCCTCTGGGTGCCTTTTGCTTATTTGTTTAACGTACCACTCGTAATCGTGTGTGCCACCCATTGCCGCCCCCTCGGATGCACTGCCTCCTGGGTGCTTTTTCCCCCCAACCGTCACCACCTACATTGAAACTTTCAGCTTCTTCTTGTTCGTTTGCCTTTTGCCAGAGCCGAGCATAAAATAAACACAAAAAACTTTTGCAGTCTCCATTCAGCAGTGGGATCCAAAGAGCCGCCACCCACAGCATGCCGTAATTATCATTATCCTTTGCCCCTCGCATTCCCCCCCTCCCACTCTCTCTCTCTCTTTCGCTCTCATTTTGCGCTTTTCATTTTCCCTTTTTCCCGTGCTGTTTATACAGGCAACTATGGCACTTTAATTGAAGTCAATTTTTTATACTCTGTGGTAACTTTTACTGCTGCTTTCCCCCAACCACCTCCCGCGGCCGCTCCCTGCTGGAGCCATTTTCATTGAAAATAATTTTGCAACTTATTAGCACCTCCGGAAATTATGAGTTCAAGCTTTTTTGTGGCTTGTTTACGAGGCTGCGCGCTTGGCTCGTTCCATTTTCTCATTTCCCATTTTCCCCATTTTCGCCATTTTATTATTAATTGAGCTGCTCCGCTTTTGGCCTCTGGCGCTCCCCCTTTGTTCCCCACTTAATTAGTGCGACGCCTCGGAAGGATGCAAGTTCCATCAGGAGCGCAGCAGTGCAGTTGATTGTTTAAGGCATGAACCAACAAAGGATCGGGTTAATTGAAACAGTTTTCGGGGAGGATTGCTACTTTTTACTTTAGTTTCACAACAGCTGCAGCTAATACCTGATCCAAACCCCTAATATATCATACTAAAATCCCTTTTCTGCCTCTGCTTTATAGTAATCCCATATTTTTGCTACTCTGTCAGCCCTGCCCTGCCCGATAAAGAATTGAATCTGGACAAAAATATAACCCACATTTTGCACCCCTCTGGAACTAATAATTTTTTTATGGCACGAAATCAGAGCCAAAGGACTGCTGATTATAATTAGATTATAACATTAATAAGTCGCTTTAACAAATGTTCAAATTTTCCGCTTTGTAGCCAGCATATATCACGCACTGTGCCACCCTCCTCTTACCCTTGGGTGGCGGCATGACGATGACCCTCCTTTGGCTTAGCTGATATTTTGGCAACAGTTGCGAAAATTGAATTTTCGGTTGCAGCGTTTAATAAATACGAGTATTTCCCATTGTATCGCATCGCATCGATGAGAAAGCACTTTCGGGACACTTAAGGAGCGAAAGCAACGTGTACACTCTCGTACATAAATCAAGTGCAACCCCCTTGGGAGGCGAACTGAAGAGAGCTGCTGCTCATCGTTCGATTGTGTGAATTGCAGTTTCATTAGATAGAAAGCTTTTCCACTCCCACTCTGAGGTTGATTTGTCATCACAATAACATTAATTTTCTTGGAGATTTTCATTTTGATTTTTTCAATTGAATGTTGTGTAAATTTTGGCAGCTGTTCCCAGGACAGGACCCCACCCACACCCATCCCCCGAGAGAGCAGCACTTAATGTTCGTCAATTATTTGCAGTAATTTGCAATATTTTCCTAAATGCCTCGCCACTCAATGCTGATCCTCCCCTTAAATTGTTTTTAATGGCCATTTGCACTTACAGAGCACCCATTGACTGCAGGCTACACACCCCCGCACCGCACCGCATCGCATCGCATCATCATACAAGCGAGGAGGCTGTAATGGCTTCATCAACCTCTCCATCGACAGCGATAAATGGCCTACAAGGAACTCTCGGATTTCAGTTCTGTTTGTTATTGTTGTTCAGGTCGTTGGGTTTTACTTTTCGGCGTTTAATTTACGAGTATAGTCGCAGCATCGCGTAAGGAAAATAAATGTTAATTTATTGACAAAAACAATGGCAACAAAATCAGACTCAGACTCTACTCTTTCGAATTTCAATTGAGGTTTCTCATCACACGATCCACAACCCACCAGGAGGCCGACAGCAAGTGTTAAAAATGTAGTTAACAAATATGCTTTAACAACAATTTGTTTGAAACGAAAGAAACGAAAACGAATGCAACCAGCACCATCGCACAGACACAGTTCCACAGCTCCAGGGCATCAAGATTGTGTCTGTGGCCTGGGGTCTGAGTCTTAGTCAGAGTCTAGGGGTTTGGGGGCTTTCCCATTGAGGAATATATGGCCTGCGGTGTCTTTGTGTGGCTTGGAGTTCTTTTCTTTAAATTCCACATTTTTTTTTTTTTTGTTTCTTTCATCTTTAACCCGATTCTCAAGTGTCTCTAGCAATTATGTATCTTTATAAATGATTTGTTAGGGGTGGTCTGCTGCACTCTCCCTCTCTCTCTCTCTCAAGTGTTTCGGGTCTCTGGGTAATCCTTTATTTTATACGCATACTTAAGTATTATCCATTCCAAAAATTATGTGTGAAAACCATTAAATCTAACTTTAATTGTTTTCTGCTTGTTGCACTGTTGTCAAAGCCTTTGGGGCACTCGCTCTGCCACTGGTTCGTTTTTCATTTTTCATTTTCCCCATTTTACCCATTTGGATTTTAAATTTTGGTTTACGACTGCGCGCCGGCAAGTTCTACAGATATTTTAATTGCTGCGCTTTGCGTTTTTCAATGTTCTCATTTTATATGTTTTGTGTTGTGTTATGTTGTGTGTGTTTTCCCTCCCAAACATCGCCCCGCCCAGCTTCAGAATCATAAATCATTTTGGGGTTTCATTTTTGGGGGAGGGAAAACATCGCCTTTTTGAATAATTTTTGTTGTTTAATTTTGATTTAGCTTTGAAGAAGCGGGCAACAGTTTTTCTTATTCATATTTTATAGGACATTAACTTGTCCCAAAAGATAATTTTATTTGACATGGCTTTAGTGGCCAGGCAGCACCAGCACTAGACTAGAGTGTGGAGTAGAGAAGACTTTCTTTCCATAGTTAGCATTTCTCGATCGATCAGTCATTTATCAAATGTCAGCAAAAGTTTCTTTCACTTTACCTTTTCTTTCCCATCAACCCATCAGCCGAACGAACGAGCACCCAAGGCAACGCAACGCCCTTTCCCATATTTCTTCTGATAAAAAAAAGCGCCCGTTGCATTTTGGAATTTCTCACACGTTTCGTTTCGTTATATATCAAATTTATGTGTGTTGTAGTCGGAGGAGTAGTTTCCCCTCCTGCCCGAAGTTTTGTTTATTTTCCCTTGCATTCTCCGTAATGATTCCGATAACGCCCACATTAACGAGAACTTTCCGTTTGCTTCGGTTGAACAATGAAAACGATTTTCCAGCAGCACAAACAATTATAGCGATGCATAAATTAGGCACAACCCAACTTGAATAACTAATTTCCTGTACGGCAATTACTAAAAAAACGAGAAAGAGAGTGAGAGAGGGAAGCAGGCACATGCACAATCTACATACATGAGGGAACGATTCCAATTCCAAGACCTATTCCGATTCCAAGTCCAAGTGCGCGTTTAATGAGCATATTTGGATGCATGATACATTTAATCGCTGGAAAAATGCACACAAAACGTACCCGCAATGGACCCGCGAGTCAAAGAGGAATTCGAACCAATAAAAAAACGTGACAAAATGCAAGTTTGTGATAGCAAAGTGTTACCCTATTTCCGAGGCAGAACGAATGGTAGTTTTTTATGCAGACACAGAACCACAGAAACAACCACAAAAAGAGCAGAGTACAGCAGAACAGAGCAGAGCAGAGAAGAGCAGAGAGTGCTCGGGTCGATAAGGTGGAACACGACAGAACAGCAGAGCACAGATCGCTGCATTTAATGCAGAACATTTTGATAAAGGTAGAGGTAGGGCCTGGATCAGGGTTCCGGGTTGCGGGGAGATTTTTATTTACGTTCCTACTTCAGAACAGACAAATAAATCGTAATTGGCGTACGAGGGTTTTTTTTTATTATACGATAGGATCGTCTCGTATCGAGTGGTTCGGGGTTTT